GTATGTTGTCAATCACACTAATCCATCCGTTTTTCTGCACATCTTACTCACATTTGCTCCGCTGATAGATGTGGTGGATGTCATTGTATTTGATTCATAAATATTCCATGGGCATGCATCAAACCCTTAGAATAATTGTAAAATTATATTTAAAAAAACAAACTTTGTAAAGGCAAAAAAAAAAAAAAAAAATCACCTTGGTTTTTCCACTGCAGGTTTTCATGGCCTCAGAGGACAATAGAGAAGGAAAACATCATTACGTGGAGGAGAAATGTACCTGTAATAAAGCCAAATGGCACTGAGAAGTGCACTTGTCAAAGATGATAAATGGCACCGATGCACCCTAAATGTGTTTGGTGCCCTTGCCACATTGACTCCACCCCCTGTAAAGGGTGGCCAGTAGCTCCCAACATGAAACCTTCACTTTGGAATTCGATTCTGACACAGAGTCTGATACAAATATCTCTCTTTGTCGCCTTTATAATTTCCATAACTCATAAAACGTCTCTAAGAGCTGTAAGCGGACAAAATGTGTTTATTTGACATGTAATTAGTTTGCCTCGTCTTGATGTTCATGCTCAGCTTCAGGTGTCACGAGCCTCCCAGATTGTATGCCTCCTTGTGTGCCCTCACAAAGTCTCGTCAAAGAGGAGTCAATTATACAAATGATCACACATAAATGGTGCACTCTAACGTTGTCGCGTTAGAGTTTATAGAACAATGGAGAAGAAGAAATGGTGCTTTAAATGATTTACTCATATGTACATATAAAGCTGCCACATCACCTTTTCCTTGAAAAACCGGCAGGCATTATTGTATAAACTGAGATAAAAGGTTACATATGATAAAGTACACTTACAGTATTCAATACTTGAATTTTAGGCCATTATTCCACAAGTGGCACCATTATTATAATAGTTGGTTCCATCAGTCAACAAGTGTGTACAATGTGTGTAGGAGTGACCCAGAGAGTGTGACAACAGAACCGAAAATTCAACTTGCATGAAATAATATTCTTCTCAGTACTACAGTATATGATCAAACAATCAACTAATTTGTTTTCAAAAAGATGAGAACATAAATAGCATGTTACCAAAGCATAATCAAAATCTTCACTTTTTTTTCTCCATTACAGATCAGGTGTCTTCAAAGGGTGAGTAGTTTTACTGTAATGTCATTTTATTATACAACGGTTAACGTTGTTTTATACTTCAATACTTAGCTATGTTAAAATATTACTTTTAACATTGCCTTGAAAGTGCGAGTTTTGTGATGGGGACCTTTTCAAATTTTAAAATTCCAACTAATGCCACAGAATGGATTGTGTTTGAATTTTAGGCTTCTACAGTGTGAGGAAGATCATAGTTTTAATCTGCTGTTGGTAGCAATAAAGAGTGCATGAATGTCAACTCCAGTTTTTAGGTGATCCAGAACCTTATTATAAAATTGCACATTCACATTCATAAGTAATTATGCTTTCTTTAACATGGTCAGCCAGAGAAGCTCCCATTAAGCGACACTGCTTCGAAGCAGCCTACCATGGGATTTCTAAACAAATACTGAACAAATGAAATGGAAACCAGCGTGCTCCAGTGTACTGCTGTGAAATAGAATCCACAATGCGTGTCTCAAGTTCGGGGAGAGGGCATGAAAATTGGAAAATGGATGATTATAGAGAGAGCGAATTACACTGGTGTGTCGAATGAAAAGGACGTCTGCTATATCCAGCTGAGAGAGAGAGCTAAGAGAGGGAGGGGAAATGGCATAAAATGAATGCAAAAGACAGGGACAACGATGCAGAAGAGGGAGGACGACAGGAGAGGATAAACATTTTGCTAAAAATACCTCTCCACCCCATGAGTGTACTTCTATTGGCAGAGAGGATGCCCACTGAAAGAAAACTGAGAGACTCCTATTGTTATTTCATTATTCCTAGTGTTATGCACTCCCCAGGAGGGAGCAACTATACTGTAGAGGGAGATGTTGGCTACTGGAAAAGAACTCAAGTGAACAATCAACCCGCTGAGAGCAAATCAAGCAAAACAACGTGCAAAATGATATCATTGACGATCTCAAATAAAAAACACCAAAATAAACTTGTTTCAAAACAGACTTTGCCTTGTCGAATTATCGTAGAGCAGGGGTGCCCATTACGTCGATCGCGATCGACCGGTAGATTGTGGACTGGTCCCAAGTCGATCACGAGGGGGGTAGGGGAGAAAAAAAAGTAAACAACCATGTGTGTGTCTTTGTGCATGTTGGTAATATGTATTTTTTTGTGTTAATGTACACTGCACCCTAATCATTCTATCAGTCTCACACAAAAGGTGTCTCTCACAAAATGTATTAAAAATATAAAATAAAATAAAGCAGGTAAATCTTTAACCTACGGTGGCACATGATGTGCATCACCAGAAGTCTGCAATTGCATCTTGTGAGCTGTTGCGCTATATCTTTATCGTTATCATTATTTTCATTCAGAGTTTGTTTCGTGTACAATTCACCAAGGGCACGGGCAAAGAATAGGAATCTAGAGGGCCGAGGGAAGCACTTTAAAACGGTACGTGTGAGCCACGATAGTTAACAGGCTGCAAAAGTGCGTCGCATGCCTCCGTGTCAGGCTGTTGCTCATCATGGCGTGCGTGTGTATGTGCGTGCGCGGTAACGGGTTGATCGCGGCAGGTTGGTTGATCGAAAAGTCGATCTTCGGTCCAAAATGTTTGGGCACCCCTGCCGTAGAGGAAAATTGTGTGTGACAAGCCTCAAGGCATGAAGAATTTTAGTTGATTATTTTATGAAACTGATTATATGAATGCGCGATGACAGTGATGCAGATGTAGAAAGCCATTGCCAATCCAAATCTTTATGGTGTTGACACTAACATTATAGCCACTACAGTAGCACATAGAGAGTAATTGATAACATACCCCCAGGATACTGTCAATTGACATAAAATCTAAAGGACATCATATTTGTGTTTGAAATGTTGGAGTACGGTGGACCGAAATAGAGCTAATGGTCCAAATACAAGAAAGTGCTCATGAAAACAACAATGGAAATCTTTAGAGTCATCCAATAATTGGACTTTTGCTGTCTAATGTGGAAATTGTTGCAAAAAAAAAAAAAAAAAATCAGTCCAATTATCTTTGTGTGTACCAGGCGTATCTGATCTGTAGAATAACTGCAGATTGTTCTGGACTACATTTATCATCTCCTGGGACTGCTGCCCTGATTCATTCCCCAAAAATTGTGTTATACTGTGAAAGTTGACGCTTGAATTAACGTGGGATCAAATGGGGGCGGGGGGGGGGGTGCATGATTGTGACTTGCACTAATTGTATGTGTCAGTGGCCTGCAAAGGTTAAAGAGGTTTTCTTCATGGTTTCTATATCCATATGCTGCTGAGATGAATTATGAAATCTCCTTTAGTTCCACTTAACTCATGTTAGACTTGATGTGTGGCACTTTCCCCTACGGAACACTGTACCAAGGATTCATATTACAACATAATAAAAATAACCCAAATTATTATGTGTTTTACTGTAAATATGTTTGTGGGAGCCAGCTGGGAATAGAAAAGGCAAACTTGTGTTGCTAACTTGGTAGGATAATAAGAAGTTTTGTCAGTACTGTACAATATGTGGGTGGTTATGTGAGTAAATTAAACTGTTAAGTGTTAAAACGGAGCATTGAATGAAAAAATTATTAATTATTAATATTACGAATTTATGATCTAATTTTTTTTGTAAAATGTAATTTCTGTTTAGTGGCTTTTACTGTATTTGCAGTCCTTTTCCAGTGCTTCAAACTACTAAATGATGACGCTGGTTTGATACAGTTTATCATAATAGTCTGTTGAACAGGTTGGAAACTTGGGTAGGCTTAATTAGAACAGTTCTAAAATGGTGCAGGTCCGATTTGGAGAAAATGTGTTATTTTGTGACGATGAGAAGTGTTGAATCTGATCGGATGGCAGTATGTGGGGTTCCTCAAGGGTCAGTCTTTGGACTCCTTTTTTTCAGTCTGTATATGTTACCATTGGTTCAAATGCTTCAAAATGCCAACGTTGGCCCTATGGCTATGCAAATGACATGCAGCTTTATTTATCTTTTTTTTTTTCCCAAATGACAGCTGTTCAGTTGATATGCTGTGTCATTCTCTAAAGCAAATTAACAATTGAATGAACCAAAATTTCCTTCAGTTAAAAAGTCATCTGGATCCGGATACATGTTTTAAGTAGATGTATACTATACTTAAAAATTGATCCACATTATCTTCCTTTGTGTCATCACTGGATGAAATAAAATTGAGTACATTTAATTAAAAAAAAAAACAAAACAAAACATTTTCAGTCCAGGTGGGGTTTGATTGGCCCCTTTGTGTACTGTAGTTGTTGTACATCTATGGTGTTTGAGTGTATTTACAATATGTCACTGAATGTAAGCGTGGGAGTTTGCTATCAGAAGTGGAAGTTAGGACGAAGCTTCAAGGCTTCTTGTCCATACAAACTTAAAGCAATAAACAGAATGTGTTTGGCGATGCATCAGATTCAAGACCTGTATCTGAGCCTCTGTCATGGTAACACTAGACACCAGAATGGTCTTTCGTCTGTAATGTTGAGAGAATGATTAGCATGAACATGGTCCCGAGTGTTGATTTGGACAGACAAGTGAAGTGGCACCTTATATGATGGGTGAGGTATTTTTACTCAGAAAAAGCTGTAGAAAAAGAAAAATGAATACCTTTATGAGCATGAATTAAAACTGAGCACTCTAATCTTTATGGAGGCAGAATATTTGTTACGGGACGTGTAACGGAACTCATTATTGTGGCCAGTGGTTGTATTGGTTGACAGGAAATTGGGAGATGTCATTAACACACTTTTAATGCATCGGTTATTTTTTATCAATTTATATTTGAAGCCAACTGAAAATAAAATACACTCACCTATTATAATTGACAGCCAAACATTCAAGAAGAAATGAAAGAGTAGACCACGGTAAGTTATAATCATCATTTATAGTTCATGGTCATTTTCCTCATACTCATTCCAAGTACAGGTCTCTGGTAAGCAGAACTGACGGACAGAATGACAGAACAAACACAGAACTGTTGAAATGGACTTGTGAAATCTTTAGGTCTTTGCAAGAGCATCGAGCACAGACTTGATGATGTTATAATGCCACTTGGAGACACAAAACAAATTCATTGTTCTTCATCGGTGTCATCATCTCCCCATTAGAATCTTCTTTTCTCCAGCACACTTGAGTCAGTCGGGTCATTTTGCTGGAGGAAGGCAATGATTCTCCTCGCCACGCACGTCATCGTGCTCATTCCTCTCCTGCTTTGAACTCCTTTGTGCAGTTTTGGGTGGGATACACTTGGCCTGGTTAGCATTTGTATAAAAACTATAAAGGAACATGTAAAAACAGGAAGGGGGCTGGAAACAAATGATGCAGATTTCTTCATAAAATGTTCTATGTCTAGCAACACTTAACATTTACATTTTCGTTCTTTTTGTTTGTTTGTTTTTTTGTCTTTTGATTTTTATTCCAAAAATGGTTTTGGAGCAGAGTTATAGTTTGCATCATCTATACAACAGGCTATAAAACACCACATTATCACAGTTCAGAAAGCACATTTAGATGTGGTTGTACTGTATATAAACATATGTAGTGGAATAGGATCATTCAGCGTGCATGGCTCCGACACGTTCACCTCTGAGACTTCTGAGGAAACTTCTTGCCTTAGACTTCACATGATGCAGAAACAAAGGCCTCCAGATTTCTTACTGGCACAATGGACATTTTGTTCTTCTGGAATCAAAATTCTTGTAAATGACACTGCACTTCAGTCAATTCAGCTCTTGGTCTGTTATGTTCAACCGAGACACGTTGGCAAGTCTGTGGACATCTGTCCTGCCTCTTTTTTTTTTTTTTTTTTTTTTTTTTTTCCCCTCTGTGGATTTGCTGTCAAGAGTCCTGCCTCTGTCTTCTTCAAATCAAATGTTTGCAACACTTATGTATGGCGCCATGTTCTCTCAAAACAAAACACCACAAACACAGACATGTTCAAATCAAACCAAGTTCATAACCCATCTTTGCAAAGTGCATCTGTGCTCCTGTGGTGGCCACCAACAAAGGAGTGGGATCATCCCGCTATTGGAAACAAGTCACAGATGGATTATGTTATTTGGTTGTTTTCATTTGGCTTCCACTTGGATGCCAGAGACATTTGTCCGTCCACATTCTTTTCCCAGAAAGTCTTGAGAATGGTTCTTCCTTCATTATATCTTCTTGTTGATTTGCAGAGCAATGTCTTCTTGGGGGAGAAAAATGACTAAATAAGGTTCAATTTTGTTATCATACTGTACACAATAAAGTCTTGATTAGAATTTTCCAACAACGTTCCAGTTGGTCTGACAAAGACCAGCACTTTGATAATCACACATAGTACTCCTTATCCTTGTTCTTCTTGTTCTTGCTGCAAGTCTTTGCGGGGTTGACCGCTTTCTCTTTGACAATCGAACCGTTTGACTGAGCCGAGTTGCTGATGTAGTTGCGACTCTCGTCCACGTGGTAGGAACCCTCGTCTCGATTGCGGTACTTGTACATGGCGTAGAGCAGGATGAGAATGCACAGAGCTGCGGCTGCTACGATGCCCACCACCATGCCTGTAGTACTGCTGGACTCGCGGAAGACCTCCGAGGAGTCCGGGAAACCCTTTGGTCCAGCACCCGTGGGATTGGCTGCCATGAGAGACAAAGGCAAAATGACTATTAAGGACTGTTTCATTTGTCATCAATTCAAGTAATACAAATGACAAGATTCACAAGGACCCCAGACAACATTTAGACAAACTGTGATGAGCCAAAGTTCACATTTTACATCTCATGGCAACAAGGCAAAACATCTTACAGGATTCATTACTAAACGACAAGGGAATGTCATATGTCTCTGAGAGGCATTTGATTTAGACCTTGCTTCCACACGGCAGAATTGACGGCATCCCTTAAGACCTTTACAAATGTACGACCTGAAGATACTTGCAGATGCTGCCTTCAATGTATGAGCATGTCAATTTCCCTTTCCAATCTAATTCGTGCAGCACATTATCCTGACGATATTCCCCAAATATAACTGTTCACAAATGGCAGACGGAAGGGGATATTCTCGAGAAGGAGGATGTGCGATCTCAGTGTAGAGATTTGCTAATTTTAGTCGTAAAGCTGACAAGAATTATGTGTAAATGATTGAGAAAAAAAAGGCCAGTTTAAGCTTACAGCTCATCAGGTGTTTTACAGCACGGTCATGAATGAGCGGAGGGACGTTAACATCTTCCGTAAATGCTACCGAGATGACTCACTGAAAACAAATCTGACAGTGAAAAACAATTCCTCAATAGAGTCAGCAATTTTTTCCAAAGACTGTCCTCCTCCTCTGTGTTTTGAACCGTTACAGCTCAATGAGGCATATTTTGAAAACACGTCAGCCCCCTGATATCATTCAGTCCTCCTGGCACATCTCACTGTGTGTTTTGTTGCAGTCATCAGTTCTGCTTAAGCTGTCATTGTTGCATTGGAGAAATCCAAACGCACCAAATGTGGAAAGGAAAGCACGGTGGTTCTGCCAGACTGAGGTGTAAAACACATAAATGAGGGATTAGGAGTTCAGAGTGTAGTTTTGCTGATGTACACAAACCAATAATAACATCTTGGACTGGACATCTGCACCGTTTAGTTAATGTTCACTAGTTGTAAAATATTTGTGTCACCCGGTTGGAGTAAAAATTCAGCAAGGAAGCCAAAACACTTAAATACAGGATTACAAAAATAAGATATGAGATGGAGAATGATGAATATAATGAACTACTTTATTCCTCTTCCTGTTTCAATCTACAATGCAATATAATAAAGATGTATGTCATAAAATAATGTTTCACGATGGTACACAGGCTGCAGAGCACTGGTGTTATTTGAATATTCCTCCTCAGGTGCTTCGCAACATTTTGATAGCAGGGTTGCTTGCATGTGAAAATTCAGTTAAAAACCCACAATATCAAGAAATTAATTCCTTACTTCCTCAGTTATGCACAAATAGAAACACAAACGAAATGACAAAAAATAGACATGCAAGAGGTGGTCCTCTATGAAAGTATTCAGATTGTTTGATCTCGGTTTCACGCTTGCGGGTTTGCCGCTAGTCAGGATCTCACTTTGGGAAAAAGCTTATTTTGACAAATTTACGAAATATAAATGATTTTTCATGCTTTTTTTAAGTGTTTTGTTTAATTACTTTGTTTGTGACATGAACTTATTTCATTTGGGAGTTTTCTAAAATTACTTCACTCTTGAACTTTAAAAACAAAACAATCACAACCCCCCCCCCCCCTGCTTTGACTGGTTCAACGCTAGCAAATGCACACAGGACAAACAGATATGTCTATTTTAGGTAGTGCTCATCTTTACTAAAATAAAAATGTGGAATGAAGACCGGAGAGGGCACAAGTTCCCTGGGCTGTCTGGTTGGACAATGTAATCTTCTCGTGCCATACAACAGTCATGGGCAAGAAGCGATTTCCTTTGGTGTCCTGAGTGTGACTGAGCGTTCAAACAGATTAGCTCTGCTCTTTACATGGGCGCTTATTCCGTGGGACAGGTGTGAAGAATGCTCTCACTTTGTGGACAAAAGCTGGTGTTTGAAACGCCTCTTAGTCAATGAAGCTGCAGGTTAGCTTTCTACTGTGTCTGCTATCAACCTTTGCTCAGGGTCAAAAAGTACACGAGAACTTTAAAGGCCTGTACAGTGAGGCCAAAGTTCAGAGTTTCTTCATGTCTAGATCTGCTTATGGCATTGCTTTCTAACAGACTGTTTTTGTACAAACCTTCGATAGCTCAAATCAATCGACTTCATACCTGTCAACCTCGGCTAATAGCTGCCCTTATAAATGATTACGATTCCCCTTACAAAGCAACAAAAACCCGTACGTCGGCTTACCGCGCATGCGCACATCATGCTTCATCAATCCGACCGTACGCAGTGATGAAAAAAAATATACAATTGAGGATTACTTTTGCTGGTTTGCCGTGACAATAGTAGCGATCGGCGACGGCATTGTCGTTGGCTACCAGTAGGTGAGACGATCTGGATTTGAGCCAAAATGGTCTTTGTGAGATTGGTTCACAATTGTTTTTGTTTTCTTTTTTTCCCGTATAAAAGTTGTAATATGCCGTATATGATTTGAAATGATCAAAAAACGTATAAAATATGGGGTAAACGTACAAGTTGACAGGTATGCGACTTAGTCTAGTCGTGCCTTTTTTCGTGTGGATTCTTTGTTTACGATTGTATTCCTATCTTATATTCTATAGTATAGAATATAAGATAGGAATACAATCGAATATAGTATAGAATCTATACTATATTCTTTAGCATATCAGAATACAGATTCAGTGTGCTTTGTAAATTTAAATGACAAATGAAGCATATCAAGGATTATTGAAATGTTTTTTTTTTTTTTTTACTGTGACATCTATCTATGCCTGCATGCTTGCATATGTGGGGTTTGGTGCTGTGTGTGGCATGCAACAACTATCGTACATTCTTTCATCCATTCATTTTCTAATCCGCTTATGCTCACGAGGGTCGCATGCATGTTGGAGCCGATCCCAGCTGTCTTCGGGTGGTAGCCGGGGGACACCCTGAACTGGTTGTCAGCCAATCGCAAGGCACACATAGACAAACGACCATCTGCGCTCACAATCACGCCTAGGGACAATTTATCCATCCATTCGTTTCTGATTCGCTTATCCTCACAAGGGTAGCGGGGAATAATTTAGAGTGTTCCATTCACCTATCACGCATGTTTTTGGAATGTGGGAGGAAACCGGAATACCCGGAGAAAACCCACACAAACACGGGGAGAACATGCAAACTCCACACAGGAAGGCCATAGCCGGAATTGAACCGTGCACCTCTGCACTGTGAGGCGGACATGCTATTCGCTCGAACACCGTGCTATCATATATTCAGTAGCTTGTATGGAGAATTTCCATTTTAAGATAATAATAGAAAACAATTACAAACATTTTCCAAACTCTCGAAATCCCAATCTTATTATCACTTTATATGTCTGCAGCTACTGTATAAAGGATTACTTTCAACAAAATTTCAATTACTTCCCTCTCACTTCAATTCAAGTGAACAAGGCACAGGTGAACATGCTCTTAAACACAAACAATAGGGAAACCAGAAAATCTCACTGTTATATCCCATTTAATATCTTAAACAAGAATGTTATGTTGAGCTCAGTAATTAAATGATTAATACAGCATTTAGTGCAGCAAGGGGAGCTTTGCTCTGTGCCAAAAGATTAGCATTCATTACAGCTCATTACTACGTTTGCTCTCAGTGTTGTCTATCAAACTACCTGAAGGCATTGGGGATTTCATTCCAAGAGTATGAGATCAATGACGGATATGGTGGTTACAGACAATTTTGGAAGCTGCGTGTTTGGCAGTAAACCTTGGGCTTTGTTTCCCTCGTGCTGGCCACAGTAATGTGGCCAGCACAAGGCCTTCCAGACATTCTCAGACCTCAGTCAAAAAAACATCCGGCTGTTTGTTCATCAGCCCTCTAATATTGACTCCATTTATGAATAATGGGTCAACATCCTCACCTCCAACTCACCCAGGGGTAAAATCAAACATGAAGTAGATGACCCTAAAACACAGTGCTTTTTGCAGCATAGCATGGGGGGCACTTGTGAAGCACTCACAGTAAACTCAAGGGGGTTAAATGTTGTGAAAAAGCTGCATAATAACCGAATCCTTCCACTGTAGTTGCAGACATAACTGATAATTACAGTATAACACTAAATGGATCACCCAAGGTTATTGCGAGTTTCTTCTCACATGCATGCTGGGATTCCTAAAGATGGGGTGCACAGGGACAATTCTTAAATGGTATTCTCCAATATCAGAGCTGCACAATGCCAGCTAAGAAAACGGTAAAAACTTTTTGGGGTCATCAATAGTAAGATGCACTGAAACGCGACAGCATTTAAAGCCCGAAAGACACACAATTAAATCCTTACTTCTACTGTAGTCCTCACCGAGACATTCCAATTTTAACAGTAAAATGCCTGTTTGGCATTTCCTCTTATTTGAGCCACACTTGTTTGGTGAGTTAAAAGCCAAAAAGACTCCGATTCCTGTCAACTAGAATTTCAACAACAAATGGCCCACAACAAAGACTATTTTTCCTCATTTGTCGCCAGCAATGCTCTCATTCGTTGGGTAATTGCTAAGAGTCTGCTGGGTGACAAAGCAGGATGAGGCAAAACATGGCGGTTGCTTCAGGTCTGTGCTTGAGGTAACGAAGCAAACAACACTACTTAGGATTTATTGAACAGCCACTGCGGGCTTTCCCCCCAACATTACTACCCACCCGCCACCAATTGCCTCACTTTTTACAACACAGGGTACCTGCTTGGCTGAGCAAGTCAAATTTACACACACACACACACACACACACACAAAAACACCAGCACCGTAAAGTTAGAATGATAATAGGCTGCACGGGTTCAGGGAACACATGGACAATTGCATGCACTATCAAGTTCTGAGTTAGAGCTACTGATAGTGTAATTCTGAGAGCTATTGAGATTTGGCAAAAAGAGCTGCAAGGGACAATGTTATGTGGATGTGGCCTTCATTAGCCTGCCACTCTTTAACTGGGCAGCATGAAA